TCATCAAAGTTGGGGGGTTCCAACATAATCTCCATGTCCTCCGTCAAAGTTGGGGGTAGTGATGATGTTGTATGTCCTTCTATCGCCTTCCTCAGTTGAGATACATGAAAGATTGGATGTAAGGCTGAGGATGATGGTAGCCTCAATCGATAGGCTAATAATCTGATGAACTCTAAGACCTCATAAGGCCCAAAATATTGTGGGATAGTTTTTCATTCCTTCTCTTGGATAATATTTTCTGTCTGTAAGGCCTCAATTTTAAGTAAATCATATCTCCCACTTTAAAATTTACCTCTCTTGTGCCCATCCGCCTTCTTTTTTATTACATGTTGGGCTCTCAGCAAATGCCCCTTAAGCTCCATTGATACCATGTCCCTCTATTCTAAGTAGTGCTCTACACTGGACACTGTTGTAGTGCTTCCTACATAATGCATCAAGTGAGGTGGGTCTCTCCTATAGAGAATCATAAAGTGAGTAGCCTTTAATGCTGAGTGGCACGAAATGTTGTACCAATATTCTGCCCATGCAATTCACCTAGCCCAACTCTTTGGTGTGTTTGATACAAAGCATCTCAAATAGGTCTTTACACTCCGGTTGACCACTACTATCTGACCATCTAACTGAGGGTGAAAGGTTGAATTTCGTTTCAATATTGTCCCCTGTAAACAAAATAACTATTACTAGAAGTAGCCAAGGAACACCTAGTCCCTGTCAAACACATTGGCTTTTGGGAACCCGTGTAAGCGTACTTCTTGAATGAAAATAGTAGCCACTGTAACTATGATGTAAGGGTGCTTCAGAGAGAATGAAATGTGCATACTTGATTAGATGGTCTACAACTACCAAAATCATTGTAAACTCTTATGTTCGTGATAATCCTTCAATGAAATCCATCATCACTTCCTCCCACACCCTCCCCAATAGGGCTAAGGATTGTAGTAACCTTGTTGACATCATGGCTAAGTACTTATGCCTTTGGCACACATCGCATTTGGCTATCCAGCTCTCTACATCGCGATGCATCCGTACCCAATATAATTTCGTTGATAGTCGACTATATATTTTCTGAACTCCATAATACCCTCCTATCGCACCACCATGGAACTCTCGCAGTAGTTTAGGAATATAACCTGAGGTCTAGGGAAACACAAACCTCCCATGGTACAGTAATGGTCCCTCATTCAGAACATAACCTAAGTGATTGTTTGGATCCTGCAGCAGCTCCTTGATCCTCCCTAACTCTTATTATGCTCATTCTCATGTCTTAATGCCTCCCAATCTACCATCAATGGTACTGACAAGACCGCCAACTGAGATCACTTGACTCTCCTGAACAAGGCATTTGTTGCCTTATTTTCTAGTCCTGGCCAGTACTAAATCTCAAAATCATATCCAAGTAACTTGGATAGCCATCTTTGATGCTTTTCAGTGACAATCTAATGTTCCAACAAAACCTTCAGGCTCCTATGATATGTCTTGACTATGAAATGTCTCCCCAATAGATAAGGCCATCATTTCTAGATAGCCAAAATAATCTCCATCAACTCCCACTCACACACAGACTTGATCTTTGCCTAGGTTGTGAGGACCTGGCTAAAGTATGCAATAGGCCTCTATTCTTGCATGAGTATTGCTCGTTGCCGATAACCTGATGCATCTATCTCCACTAAAAATGGTTTCCTAAAATCTGGAAGTGCCCGCACATGTACAATGATCATCATTGTCTTCAACTCCTGGAAGGCTCAGGTTGCCTCCTCCCTCCACTTGAAATTATCTTTTTTTAATTACTCCGTTAAAGGTCTTGTTATGGTACCATATCCCTTCACAAACTTCCAATAGTAATCAAGGAGCCCTAAGAACCCCCACAACTCCCTCTAGTTCTTAGGAAGAGGCCAGTCCACCATAGCCTGAATCTTGGACTGATCAACTGATACTTCTTCTATGGACACTACATGCCCTAAATACTCCACATGTGATTTCCCAAATGTGCATTTTTTCCAATTGGCAAATAGCTGATGCTCCCTCAATGTCTCCATGACAGTCTTCGAGTGCTCCCAGTGTTTCGCCTTTGTCATGTTGTATATCAAAATATCATCAAAAAAATACTAGGACAAACCTTTGGAGATATGGCTGGAACACTCGATTCATAAGTGACTAGAAGGTGGCAAGGGCATTGGTGAAGCCAAAAAGAATCACCAGGTACGCGTAATGTCCTGAAGGTCGTCTTGTGCACATATGTTGTCCTCATCTTAATTTGATGGTATCTCGACTTCAAAGCTCCAAATAACTCATGCAAGAGTTCATCTATCATGGGAATTAGAAACTTATCTAGCACCATTTTCTTATTTAAAGCCCTGTAATCTACACAAAACCTCCAACTTCCATCCTTCTTCTTCACCAATAATACAGGGCTAGAGAAGGGACTCATACTAGGTATGATGATCTCTGCTTGCATCATTCCCCTAATCAGCTCTCTATCTCATCTTTTTGTATCTGAGGGTAATGATATGGTCTGAAACTGATTGTTCTTTCAATTTGATGGCATGCTCGTGCTCTCAAGGCGGTGGTAACCCGACCGGTGGCTGAAATACATCCTGATACTATTGCAGAATCTACTGGGCCCCCATTGGAATTTCCCATGACTCCTATTCGTGGACCCCTTCTATGCTTTGCAGCTCTACAAAATATCCCCGGCCTACATCCTGGCTTATCCTGAGCATAATTTTTAAAGAGACCATAGTTTTGCATAAGCTGGCATCCTCTTAAAGCGCTACCTTTTTCCCTTCCACCTATATCTCCATAGTCAATCATTTCCAGTTCACCTTCATATCCCCCATACTCTATAGCCACTTCATCCCCAGATTTACATCCATACTTCCCAAGTCCAGAGGCAGGAAGTCTTCCACCACTTGAATACCCTGCAAGGTCATCAACATCCCTTTATATATTCCCCTGTTCCTCTCTATCTTACTTGTTCCCATCATCACCCCAAATCCTTCTGTCCTCATTAACTTCAGCCTCAATCAGTCCAGCCAATTTGAGATGAAGTTATGTATAGCTCCGCTATCCACCAAAACTACCACAAATTGCTCTCCAATTTTCCCCATTACTTTCATGGTGTGATTTGGAGTAAATCCCGCCACAAAGTTCAAGGACACCTTTGTATGTGTTTTTATATGTTGCTAGAGAACGTAATAAGCTGGCAGACTTTTGTGTTTTGTATGCAGTCTTGTTTATTTCCTTTGGGATGATGAATCATGTCCTTCAGAGTTCGTTGAATTGTTAAGGAAGGATTGTGATATAATAGCTATCACAAAGATTTTTTTTGTAATCTTTGTTCTTTTCATTAATGCTTTTAGCATTTCTTCAAAAAAAAAATTGCAACTACTATGTCTCCTCCAATACATCCTCCAACTCGTCCCGGCTCTCCTCTTCCCCTTCATAGACCATCACCCGGGTGTAAATCTCTCATCACACCTAAAGCATAGCCCTTTTGTCCGCCTATCCTATACTTTTGCTTCGATCAAGCATTTGAAATAATCTCCAAGACGCTCACGCTCCAGGGCTCTTCTCCTTAGGTGCTTCCCTCTGAAATGACACCATTTGGCACCAAGGTCGTAGAGGTGTTCCTCTAAGCCCCTCCCATTGGTTGCTCTAGCTGGTCTTCTCCCTCTGATGTTTCTCCTCCATCCTTTGTGCTTGCTCCATTGTCTCTCTCAATCCTCTAGACCTCAACACCCTAAGCTCTTCCCTTATGTCTTCCCGAATGCCCTTTATGAAATTTTCTTCCAATCCATCCTAAGAGATTCCCCTTAGTCTTCCCGACGGCAGCTCAAACGTCTCCCGATACTCCATAACTATCCCCTTCTGAGTTCAGGCATAAAACTGCTCTTGGATGTCTCCTTTCTGAATGGCTCGGAAACGTTTCAACAAAAATTCCTTAATTTCTCCCTATGAGTAGATCGGATACCTAGCCTCCCCCGATTGGAACCACGCTAAGGCTTTCTCTTCCACACATAGACCCGCCACCTTGAGTTTTTCTCCTCTGTCAGTCCATTGATTACAATCCTAATTTCACTCACATAACAAAAAGACAACATCCATGCCCTTCCCTTAGATACATTTTGGGGGCTTTGTATCTGAACCTCAAAGAGGGCTCTTTACCTACCTTCAAACCCCCAAAATGACTTTACTGAGAAAATCAACTTGTGATTAAAACGAAGTAGTGCATTTTCTTAATAGGACAAAAATAAAGCTCCACAACTTAATAAATTGTGTTGTGGCTTAATTTCTCATTATTCTACAAATTGAATGACAAAAATGTCCTAATTAACCATAATTTGATTTGGCACAAATCTTCTAGATGGCTGGCTCATCCTTCAAATGTGAATACTTAATAAAAGGTGATGCGGCTTATTTCCCCATTATTCAACCAGTTGAATGACAAAAATTTCCCAATTAACCATAAATTTGGTTTGGCACAAATCTTATAGATGCCATGGCTCATTCTTCGAATTTGCAATTCATCGGGGTATCCAAAGGCCCTCCATTTGATAGTGTATAAGCTCCTTCCAAAGGAAGATCAAGGTAATGGATCCTCTCCTTTTCATTTATGTGTGAGATTTTTTAAATTTATGTCAACTCTTCTTGACCTTCAGGTTCAGCTATTGACTTGAGTACCAAATGTCCTTCCAACAGGTTTTAACCCTAACATTGACGCTTTGTTTATCAGCAATATATAGGCAGTAAGAAAGCACGAACTAAAGAAAGTCATTTTGGAGAACCTCAACTCGAACCAAAAACACTGTCACACACAGCAGGCTATACCATATAAAAATCTTAATAAAAAACAAAGCAACCATATAAGTAATTCTAGATAAAGTGTTAGGCCTTTCTTTCTCTCGAGCTCTACCAACATTCAATCTTTCAAACTTTAGAAGATTAATAAACTACTTCTGAATTGTTCATTTCTTAATGAGATGCCGGGACTGTGAAATTACATTGGGATGGGAGATGACACAATCGGCTACTGATGCGAGAGTTCTTGCGACGGGCAAAGCATCGCCGGCGTAGCCACCGATAGCCGCCCCCACCCCCGTTGGAACAATCATTACCGTCGTGTATAGCCTGTGATACTGCGGGCCCCTCGCAAGCAGTACAAGTTCAGAATCCCATAAAAAGGACTGACAAAGTCCCCCAAAAAATTGAGATATTTGACCCCTTACCCTGGAACTCACAATAGCTGAGCAACTGAAGCGAAGCCGGAGAGGATATTTGAGATACCTAAAGGAGGTGAGAGACGAAGGAAGGCTGTACAGACCTCCCAAGTTGAACCGACTGCAGAAAGAGACTGCCATTGGATGGGACAAAACGAGCCAAATGAAGATCGCAAGCGATGCCCGTCTCTAAGGGGCGCTATGTTCTTCAACGGCAAGTAATTTCTATTATTTTCCCTAAAAAATAATTTCTATTAGCTGTTTAATGATCTTTCCAAAGATAAATGACATATACTTATTAATCTAACAAAATAAAAAATAAATTTTATTATACGTATATAAAAAATAATTTCTATTAACTGTTTAATGAGTATGACGACACGTTCCACTCACTTTTCATAGAGCCAACACAAGTCATGGCTCTTGAACCACACGAATCCTCTATTGAGTTTGACTTAGTGCAGGAGGTCTGATATGTGTAAACTATGTCATATTTTTGTATGTGTTTTTATCATTTTAAATGTTTTATTTTAATTATTTGTGTTCAGGAAAAACTCAAAAATGGCAGAAAATATAAAGCATAGTACAACCCTGCAACATTCGATAATTACATGTCATAGCTCAATCTTCAACACCACCGAGGCATCATACTTGGGCATGGCAGTGCCCAATTTAATGGATTTATACAGCGCGGTGCTAAATGGTCCTTGGCAGTGCCATGACATCAAAATCTATCTCGTGTTGACACCAAATCTTCCACTATAGTGCTGCAACATTTGAAAGTAAGCAGCATCTCAACATAGTAGTTGTAATTTCCAAGAGACACGATTTGCTAGCGAAGCGATATGACTATTCACTAAGTAACTGGTCCACATCAACAAATGTCACTACGGTACAGAAGTTCTAATACCAAAGTGCTAATTCATTTAAAGGGTGTCATAATGTCACTCTTTCAAGCGCATAGGTTTCTTGCTAAGTATTTCCGACCTTCAAAAACTTCCAAATTTAAAAATGACATAACTTCTTTTATTCAGTTTGGAGGAGAATCCATTTATGAGAGGCAGGAAATGCTTAGCAAATGCCCTCATGATGTTTTGGCTGATTGAATTGTAGGATCTCTTAAAGATATAATTGATATAGTAGCTGAAGTATCATTAATGTCTAAGCCATTTGAGGAAGCATATGAATTAGTATAGGAAATTATTACTAATAATTTCTAGTGACCTGTTGATAGAGTAAATCTTTAAAAAGCAGCATGAATTTATTAATTTCATGCTGTATAAATCTTAAATGAACAAGTTGTAGTAATTTATTAAAAAATAGATAACTTGAAAATTAAAACCAAGATAGATGGATATGATAATTTCAACATAATTTCTCAAAATCTTAGCACCACAGTGCCGCACCACGTAGCGTTGCAGCGGTATCCCTCAAATTTTTAACAACTCTATCATTATAGGAATGAGAAAATAACCTTGAAAAATATTATTCTACATCTAGGAATTCAAGTACAAAATGAATCTTCTACTATTAAAAAAAATGAGGATCAAATAGGGCAACCTGCTAGGTTGATTAATTATAAAAAAATGGAAGAATAATGTCATAATATCCAACTTAAAAGTGGGAAATATTTAGGAGATACTTACAAAGATAGAGATTTGCCTTAGAAGGATAATAGTGAAGTTGAGCAAGTAGAAAATAAATCATCAACAAAATAACCTTAACTTATAAAAGAACCTAAACGAGTAATTATGATGGTTATAGAAAGACCACCACCACCTTTTGCTCAGAGATTGATCAAATAAAATCTTGATGAGTAGTTCTCAAAATTCTTGGAAGCGTTGATAAAATTAACCATTAATATTCCTTTCTGTAAAGCCTTAGAAAAGATGCTCACATATGCAAAATTTATGAGGGATATTTTGAACAAGAAAAGGAAGTTATGGAATTTTACTATGAAATTGACTAAAAAGTATTGTCTTATAATTCAAAAGAAACATCCTAAAAAACTCAATGATCGTGTGAGATTTTCCATTCCTTTAACTATTGATGAAAAATTCATTGGGAGGGCTTTACGTGATTTAGAATCTAGTATAAAAGTCATGCCACCTTCTATTTTAAAAGCCTAGATATATGATTGATTTAACCTACTTCCGTTACTTTTCAATTAGCTGATAGAACTTTCACTAACCTAAGAGGAGTAATAGAAGATGTGTTGATTAAATTTGATAAATATGTTTTCCCTATTCATTTTTTATTCTAGATATGAATAAAGATAAGGAAATACCTCTAATTTTAGGGAGACCATTCTTAGCCACTAATAAAGCAATGATTGATGTACAAAAGAGTGAATTAACTATGATGGTTTAAGATCAAGAAGTTAAAATTGATGTACAAAAGTAATAGAAGATGTGTTGGTTAAATTTGATATAATCTATCAAATCCCTCAAGAGAAGAATGAAGATTGCCTTAGGGTGGATTTAGAAGATGTGGTAATAGAGAATATAAAGTATAAAGGAAGAATTATTAAAAGGAGAAGTATCAGAAGAGAAAGAAGTTAAAGAGAATAAAGAAATGTTAGGGGAATTTGTAGTAAGGAATGAAAGCTTAATCAATGAAAAGTTTGTAATATTAAAAACATCCTCTTTTGAGAAAATTTTAAAACCTTCCATTAAGGAAGCCCCTATTTTAGAGCTTAAGGCTTTATCTTCCATCTGAAGTATGTTTTTTTGGGTAATAACTCTACTCTTCCTATAATTATTTTAGCAAATTTAGAACCACGGCAAGAAAGTTAATTTATTAGAGTGTTGAGTAATTTTAAAAGAGCTCTTGGGTGGAAACTTGCTGACATTAAGGGGATTAGTCCTTTTATTTACATGCATAGAATTTTAATGGAAACTAATTCAATACAAAAAGCTGACTCTCAAAGAAGACTTAGCCCTTCCATGAAAGATGTTGATTAAAAAAAGATTCTTAAATGGATGGATGTTGGGATTAATTATCCTATTTCAAATAGTTCTTGGGTTAGTCCTAGTCATTGTGCTCATAAAAAAGGAGGGTTGATTGTTATAACAAATGAACACAATGAACATATACCCACTAGAACTATTACATGTTGAAGAATTTGTTGAGTCTTGTAATTAGGTTGTTAAACCTAAGTGAATGTCCCAAGGCTACCAAGAGGGGGGGTGAATTGGTACTTTAAAAATTTAAGTCCCCTTTTGAAAATTAAGTTGAACCGAAATAAAAATTTCTTTTAAGTTTTTCTAGAAAAATATTTTTCAACCACAGATTTTTAAAACTAAAATTTAAAGTGCGGAAACGTAAAAACAGTAAAGTAAATGACATCAGATTTATAGTGGTTCGGTCTAAAACCAGACCTACATCCACTCCCCAGAGGCACCCTCTGAGTATTGCACTAATACCAATAGTGACTCTCCTTTTGCACCCACAGCAAGGCGGAGAAGCCTTTACAACACACTCTTTTCACCACTCCCCGGTGCGGCAGAGAACCGTCCGTCCTTTTACACAATCCCCAGTGTTGGCAGAGAACCGTCCGTCCTTTTACACAATCCCCAGTGTTGGCAGAGAACCGTCGTCCTTTCACACTCTCTTAGTGTGGGCAGAGAACCCTTCGGCTATTTACACTCTCCAAGTGTAGGAAGCGAACCCTTCGGCTGTTCACACTCTCCAAGTGTAGGCAGCGAACCCTTCGGCTGTTCACACTCTCCAAGTGTCGGCAGAGAATCGGATCTCTTTGACAGATCTTCTCACAAGAATCTAGAAGGAAGAAAGAAAAGAGTGAAGTAATCCCAATTCACAAGTAGAGATTCTTACCTTTGAAATTCAAGTGAAGCCTTCTCGCTCCAGTGGTAGGAATCCTCCCTTGAATGCTCTCTTTCACTCTCTCCTTGGCTATTCTCTCAAGAGGCATGAAGATCAAATGACAAAAAGATTGGGTGGCGGACGAAAATTTTCCAGAGGACCAATCGCCACGGACGATAATTTATTTTCGTCTGGACGAAAATTTTCCAGAGTTCCGATCGTCCTGGACGATTTTTGATTTCGTCAAGACGAAATTTTTCCAGAGGACCAGTCGCCACGGACGATAATTTATTTTCGTCTGGACGAAAATTTTCCAGAGTTCCGATCATCTTGGACAATTTTTGATTTCGTCGGGACAAAATTTTTTCAGAGGACCAGTCGCCACTGACGATAATTTATTTTCGTCTGGACGAAAATTTTACAGTGAACCAATCGTCCTGGACGAATAGGACTTAGAAAAATTTTTCGAGCAAGTTCCTATTCATTCCATATGCTCTATAGGAGATAACTGTCTGATCGTCCTGTACGAACGAATATCATCCAGTACAATCAGTATAAAAATTTTATATGATCTCCTTATGTGTGTGTGTATGTTTTTATTCACTCAAATTACAATCACTCCCTTTCAATTTGATTTTAAAGAAAAGTGCAAGCTTCAAATTTTATAAAGTATCTCATGCTGAATTTAATTTGAAGTCTTCGTAGTCTGAAGTTTGTTTTTCCTGAAATGTTAGTACACACAAGAGCAAATACAATTCTTCTAAAAAATGTTAGGAGATAACTACACATTTGAACAATAATCTTTGGAATCATCAAAACTACATAAGTTGCAAAAATGTAAAGCATGCAAATAGCAACTATCTTAATAGAATTTGCATTGATTATAAGAAATTAAATAAAGCCACCAAAAAGATGCTAGATATGTTGGTAGGGCATCCATTTTTTTGTTATCTAGATGGATATTAAGGATAACATTATATTCCTATTTCACCTAAAGATAAAGATAAAACTACTTTCACTAGTCCTTATGGAACTTTTGTTCAGGAGAATGCTTTTTTGTCTATGCAATTCTCCTGCTAATTTTCAAAGATGTATGATATCTATCTTATCAAATTTAATTGAGTAGGGTATTAAAATTTTCTTGGAGGATTTCTCATTGTTTGGCACTGTATTTGATTCTTATCTTGAGCATTTAACTTCTATTTTAAAAAGATATGTAGAAATACATTTAGTGTTAAATTGGGAGAAGTGTCAATTTATGGTAACCTATGGCATTATCTTGGGGCATAAAATTTCTAAGAATAGATTAGAAGTAGACATTACAAAAATTCAGGTGATAAAAAAATTACCCCCACCCAATTCTATGAAAGGCATTAGAAGTTTTTATGTCTTGCAGAATTTTAT